CAATAAAGCTCAACTGAATATACGAATACAGCAAACAAGAACTGCCAGTGTGTACGTTTGATCTATGATGACACTACGATGGGTGGCACTGTGACCTCACAGCAAGAAGGTCGCTGATTCGAGCCTCGGCTGGGTCAGTTGGCGTTTCTATGTGGAGTTTCCTCCGGGTGCTCCGGTTTCCTCCATAGTCCAAACACATGCGCTATAGGGGAATTGATTAGGTAAATTGGCCGTAGTGTATAAGTGTGTGTGTGAATGAGTGTGTTTGGGTGTTTTCCAGCAGCTGGAAGGGCTTCCGCTGTGTAAAACATGTGCTGGGATTTTTGGCGGATCATTCCGCTGTGGCCACCCCTGATAAATAAAGTGACTAAGCTGAAAAACAATGAATGAATGAATGAATGTATGATGTCTGATGGCTTTTTAATTGTAATATCACACATTTCCAGTGCAGTTTGATTACAGCCAGGTCTCACTCTCGGTTTTATAGATGTTGTAAGACTCTTGGTGTTGCACAGGAAAGATGTTGCTTCATAAAACAGAGGAAATGTTTCTAAATGAGAACTGCAGGGAACGTGCTCTTAAAAAGAGGAAAGACCGTTTATCTTGCATTAAAGTTGCACAAGACTAAATGTAAAGAGCAACACTGAAAACTAGCAGATGAAGCAGAAAAACAGGTCTGTCCACGAGTCCGTCCCACGAGAAATCATCAGATAATCCCCCAAATAATGACTGAAACAATTCAAAATGGAACAACAGTGGAGGTCAGACTCTATCCAGCAAACACTATTTGAGGTTAAATGATGGTTAATAGATGATTAAAAGTAGACATCTCCTCTCTAAACCAATATTAAGTTTGATCCAAAGATGCAGATCATCTTTATGTGTAAAACTGGAATATGGCATAAAAAAATATGTGAATAGTTGGATGGATGGCTATATGGAAGGATGGAGGGAAATATGAATAGACAGATTGGTTAGATGGATGGATGGATATATGGATGAATGGATTGGTTGGATGGATGGATGAATAAATAGATAGATGACAAATGGACAGACAGACTGATACATGGATGCATAGATAGATGGATCGATATATGATGGACAAACAGATAGATAGATAGATGGATGGATGGATGGATGGATGGATGGATGGATGGATGGATGGATGGATGGATGGATGGATGGATGGATCGATAGATAGATAGATAGATAGATAGATACATAGATAGATAGATAGATAGATAGATAGATAGATAGATAGATAGATACATCGAAAGACCAGATAGATAGATCGATAGAAAGATAG